TTTCGTCTTTTATTTTAATAAGGTTGGCTAGGGGCTTGTCGATTTTACTTATTCTTTCAAAGAACCAGCTCTTTGATTCGTTTATTTTTTTGGATTTTTTTTTGGTCTCTATTGCATTGATTTCTGCTCTGATTTTTATAATTTCTTCTCTTCTTTTGGCTTTAGGCTTGACTTGCTCTTCTGTTTCTAGATGTTTGAAGTGTAGCATCAGGTTATTTATTTGTATTCGTTCTGTTTTCCTAATGTGGGAACTCAGTGCAATAAATTTTCCTCTGAGGACAGCTTTCATTGCATCCCACAGATTCTGGTGAGTTGTATTTGTGTTTTCATTTGTTTGTAGGTATTGTTTAATTTCTTCTTTAATTTCCTCTGTGACCCACTGATTACTCAAGAGTGTGTTTATTCAGTTTCCATGTGTTTGTGGGATTTTTGCAGTACCTTTTATCATTAATTCTAATTTCATAGCACTATGCTCCGATAGCATGCAAAGGATAATTTTGACCCTTTTGCATTTATTTAAATATGTTCTGTGTATTAATATATGGTTTGTTTTAGAGAATGATCCATATACTGCTGAGAAGAATGTGTATTCTGTTGTTGGGTGATATACTCCGTATATGTCTATTAAATCCATTTGTTCACTGGTGCGATTCAGTTCTTTTATTTCTTTGTTGATTTTCTGTCTAGTTGATCTGTCCATTGGTGTCAGTGGTGTGTTAAGATCTCCTGTTAGAATTGTATTACTGCTAATTTGGTTTTTCATTTCTGTTAGTACTTGTTTTATATAATAGGGTGCTCTGGAGTTTGGTGCATGTATATTTAAGATAGTTATCTTTTCCTCTTGAAGTTTTCCCCTAACCAGTATGCTGATCATTATTGGTTTGAAATTAAGATTATCTCCAAACAGAATAGCTACCCCCGGTTTTTTTGGGGTTCCTGTTGCATGAAGTATTGTTTTCCATCCTTTGACTTTTAGTCTTTAAGTATCCTTTTCGGTTAGATGGGTTTTTTGTAGCCAGCATGTGGTTGGATTCTGTTTCTTGATCCATTCTGCCAGTCTATTTCTTTTAATTGGTGCATTGAGACCATTTACATTAATGATTAGAACTGTTATATATTGGTTTGTTGTTGACATATTATCTTTTTCTGTTGCATCTTTATCTTTCTGCTCTGTTTAATTGTCTGCTTTATTTAGTGGTTTTTTCCTAAATGTATCTAGACTATCTTTCAGTATTCTTTGCAGGTTTGGCTTGGTGATCGTGAAGCTGTTCTTTGTCATGGAAGTATCTTATTTCTTCATCGATTTTGAAGGACAGTTTTGCAGGGTATATCTGCCTAGGTTGGAAATCATTTTCCTTTAGGATCTGGAATACTTCACTCCATGCTCTTCTTGACTTTATTGTTTGTGCTGAGAAGTCTGCTGTGATTCTGATAGGTTTTCCTTTATAGGTGATCTGTCTTTTCTTGCTGACAGCTTTTAATATTCTATTCTTTTGTTCGATTTCTGGGATGTTCATTATTATATGTCTGGGTGTAGATTTATTTTGGTTATGGCTATTTGGAGTTCTATATGCTTCATTGATCTTGATATGTTTTTAATCTCATGTTTGGGGAATTTTCAGCTATTACTTCTCTAAATATCCTCTTGACATCCTTTATGTTGTCTCCTTCTTTTTCATTTATCCCTATCAACCTTATGTTGTTCCGCTTTGTATCATCTTGCAGGTGTTGGAATTGTTATTTCCTGATTTCTTGTTATTTTTAAAAGATCTTTCCTTTCCTGTTTGCTAGCTGCAATCTTGCCTTCGAGGTCTGAAATTCTATCTTCACATTCATTGAGGCGGTTTTTACAACTTTCAATGGGGTTTTTGATTCCCTGTATATCTCTTTGCATCTGCTTTATGTATTCTGTTTGTTTCTTATATTGTTCATCCAGGGATTCTATCTTTTGTTTAGGTCCTCCAATTTTTTAACTGTGTCTTCTTTAGATATGTTCAGCATCTCCTTTATTTCTTTTAGCCTTTCTTCTTTTACCTGAGAGATTATTTCTAGTTTGAATTCCTTTAAGGTTTCCCAGAGTTGCTTCTTTATTTCAGTTGCTATTATTTCAGGTATTTCAGGTGTGTGGAATGTGTTTCCTTCTATGCATGTGGTTTCTTGGGATGGGCTGGATGTTTGATGTTGCATTTTGGTCTTTTGTCATTTTCCTATATTTTCGAGCTTCAAGGGTTGTTCAAGTGAGGGAGAGAGTTCCCCCAGACTGTGTCTATGCCCGACTGGCTGGGCCCACAGGGAACCTGGCCCGTCAGGCGAGGAAGTGAGTTCCCCTAGACTGGGGTTGGATTCTGTGCCTACCGGACTCGCTGGTCCAGGCAGGAAACATAGGCAGATCCCCAGGCAATGAAGAGAGTTCCCCCAGACCGGGGTGGGATTCCTGGGGCCGGATCCTTGCCTAGGCCCCACTGGCTGGTCCTGGCAGGAAACTGCGCGCTGGTCCCCAGGCGACTGATTCCTGGGTCAGGATCCTTGTTTAGGCCCCACTCGCTGGTCCCCAGGCAACGAAGAGCAAATGTAACTTTTTAGATTGTGAGGAAAACTAGAAAAGGATTATGAGGCAAACCAGAAAAGGATAGATGACTGTATACAATATTTGGGGTTATAATAGTATGTTATTTATTTTGGGTTTTTTTTTAGTACATGTTTGCAGTACATAATGATTGCATTCATGTGTGTAACACCTTTTAAAGAAGAACTTAAGAGTGAGCACTACTGTGTTCACACACCTTTCCCTGCCCCCATGGGAGCTTGCTTGCACAGCAAATGTGTACTTGACATCCACTTCTCCCATGTCAGCCCTCACCTATTAAACACCTCAGAAAATACAGCCTAGCTCACTAATTGGAATACTTAGTTCTACTGCTGAGTTATTCATAGGTGTTAAGTCACTGCTGATTGCCCGGCAGCAGCTGATGGGTAGGGTGAAGCATAAGAACCGTAGATAGAGCTGAGCATCATCTGAGGAAGGAAACTTAAAGAGTAGGAAGAGTCAAGGCACCGATGTAAGTACTGCCAGAGAAAGCCCAGAGCCCATGAACTGCGTCCTAGGGGAATGGCAGCTTTGAGAGGCAGGAAAAGAAGTCCCTAAGGAAATGCTGAAATAGGCAGATAAAGGTGCTGTGAGAACATAAAACTTAACAAAAGGGTGACATCAGTGTAACTGGCCGCGTGTTTAGGTGATCCCATGCTGTCACCATTTGGCTTCAGTGAAGTTGGGAGTTTCAGTTGCTTTCAGTAGTCATCTCTTTATTCGTTTTGTTATTTAGAGATCAACACATGGTTTTGGGAGAGGTGCAGAGATTAAAAAGCTAAGTTTTTTCATTTTTTAAAATCATAGTTATTGGTAGCCTGCACGGCCAGGAGGAAGCAGACCCTGGGCCTGGGTGGTATTACAGGTGGCCACCGATCCATGCGTAAGTAATGAGCAGTGCTGGGTGATGCTGAAGATGGCCGTAGGTAGCAGTACCTGTGGCCTGGGCTTGACTCAGGAGAGCTGGGAGGCTGAAGAGAGTTCTCTCAGAGCCGTGAGGTTGATAAGATAAAAGGAATGGAGGAAATGGATTGTGACAGGAGCGCCATAACGCCACTCTTCAGATCCCAAATGAATTAGAATATTTACACACTTGATGGGGAAAGAGGAGTCAGGTTTGCCAGGTGAAGTGATGAACGGAATTGATGTGAGCCACGTGAATATTGCAAAAGAGGTCATTTTAATTGCCAGAATCACAAGTCATATTTTTAATCACTGTGTTCTATGTAGTGTGGAAGAAAAATCCATTGTTGTGAGTTTTTAAAAAGTAATGATTTTTATAATGTCACTGAGCAGCATTTGAGTATGTTGGGAATGATGTGGCTCAGTACTCTGTTCTTAGCGCTCTTTCTGAAAGCCCAATTTCAGTTTAAGATTTATAGTTATTAAAATGTGCAGTGTGATTCTTGTATCTTTTAAGAAATGTGGAGAACTGTTTTTATTGATATGTGGTAAGTCTATAGAGGCAATTGGATGATAGTGGTACAAATACCTAAAGGTCCCAGGGTTAGTACAATAAACCAAGCACAGGAAATGTTCCTTCTTGAAAGGCTTTTGCTGCATTATGCCCACTGAGTTTAATGACTTGAAGTGTGTTTATTAAGAAGTACCACATCCTTCTTAGGACTACCAAAAGTTGCAGATATTTTCATAGACAACATTGGGAATATTTAGTGTTTTCTTCAGTCAAGTGAATCTTACTCAGTTTTTGGACTGGTACTGTAATGATTTTTATTTGCAGTTGCTTTAGGAGGAAATCAGCCAGCTTGCTGTGAACTGAAAGAATGGCTGGGTTTTGTTTGTTTTGTTTTTTGGCAAGACACCTGTGAAAAACTAGAGAACTACGTAATAGTGAGAAGCATGTATTTTCTTGGGGGCAACCATGGATTTTTGTGGTTCAGGAGACTGTGTTTTGATTATCTGTGGGCAGGCTTGTTTATACCTCTTATCCAGTTGTCACTTTTCCTTCACTCTAGGAAACGTTCTCATTTGAACAGTATTTTGATCATTCTCATTGTGGGTCACATTTTGAGATTTATTTATGGTCCACACTTGAAATCATTCCGTGAAGATGTACCTTAGCAGTTGGAAGTAGCCAGTGGTTAATTTTGCCACTGAGAAGTTTAGAGATACATGATTAAAATTGTTCCTTTTATAACTTACCAGCAAATGCAGTATAAAAATTGCTATAACTTGTTCTGAGATTCATAGTTGCTGTTTGGATTTAGCAGGTGCATTAAGCATGTTTTAGCAGGGAGAGTAACAGCCTTTCAAATGAATACATCATTAATACTTTCTGTTTTGAGAAGGAGAGAAGTATGGTTGTGTACACACTTGGGTTTGTGACATTGTGAGCATGAAATGTTTATCCAGCCGTGACCTAAATCTTAACTATTTTCCTTTCTTCAATCAGCACTGATATTCTGAGGGAGCCTGTGTGCTTAGGAGGCTGTGAGCACATCTTTTGTAGGTAAGTAATTAGAGCTTGATATATAAAATGTAACAGTTTCTCTTCAGATAGCAATCCTGTGGCAATGAAGGTAACTGTACTTCATGTTTGTGCGTCTCTCATAGCCTGTAACTGACTGTTCATTGTCTCGTTTGGATCCTAATATCTGCCTAGGTTTACATACAAGAAAATAATGCTTAAAGGAGATAATTTGTCCAAAGTTACAAAGCTTCCTTAGATAGTTTTGCTAAGTTGGGGGGGGGGAGTTTAGCATCTTCTGTAATCCAAACGCCTCTTTTTAAGGTCATCCAGTTTTGAATCTGGACTTTCCAAATGATGAAAGTCTAGTTCATACAGGTACTGGCTTCCTTACATTGCCACTGTGAAGTATCAAGACCAGATGATTTAGAACAACAAGTATTACCTGCACTTGCGGAGTGGAGAAGCTGAGGATAGGCCGCTGGCAGCCTCTTGGGAGGCTGGGAGAGAGAATCGGCTCTGTGCCTCCACATTGGCTTCTCATGGGTTGCCAGCAGTATCTGCCAGTCCTTGGCTTATAGATACATTACTTCTGTCTTTTTCTTCTGGTTCAGGTGGCATTCTCCCTGGGTGCATGTTTCTTTCTCTGTCCAAATTTCCCTTATTTATACCAGTTCCTGTTGAATGAGGGTTCATCCTAAAGATCTCATTTTGATAATCTACAGAGACACTATTTCCAAATTAAGTCACATTCAAAGTCACTGAATAGTTGACCTCATCATCTTTTGGGAGGACACAGATTTTAACACTGATAGTGTTGTGATAGTTTAGTTATGATTTGCTCTCTGTCAGGGATCAAAATTTGAAACAAAAGTTGCATGTGGCACATGGATAGACTTTTCTTGGTTTTATTCCCTAAATAATACAGTAGAGTTTACATTGTATAGGTTTTTTAAGTAATCTAGAGATGAGTTAAAGTATATATATTAGAATGTCCATAGGTTACATTCAAATACTGTGTAATTTTGTTTAAGGAACTTGGGCTACTGTAGATTATGATATCCGTGGGGTGTACGGAAGTGGAAAGATCTTGGAACCAATCCCTTGTGGATACTTAGAGATGCATATTTTATATCAGTCCCTGATAAAAATAATCCATGTACTCTCTTTTTTTTTTTTTTTGTCTTTTTCCTTTTTATCGGTACCGGGGATCGAACTCACGACTGCCTGCTTGCAAGGCAGGCACGTACTCTCTTTACAAAATAGTTCATTTAAGACGTGTGGCAGCAATATCAGTTTGTGGTGTCAGGCTTTTTGTTTTGGTGGTAGTAGAGCTTAAACCAAGGGCCTTTGTACTGAAGTCTATCCATAGCACCCCCCCCCCTTTTTTTTTATTTATTTGGAAACAGATTCTCACTAAGTTGCCTAAACTGGGTTTAAACTCACTCTCCTGTCACAGTCTCCCCGAGTGCTGGGAATACGGCATACAATATTGTACCTAGGTCTCAGACTGTTTTATACTCAAAATTGAGGAGCATAAAGTACTCTGTGTGTATTTTTACCACATAAAACTGAAACTTCTGTAGCTTCCCATTGTGCTGGGATCACCGGCATGTGCCAGCATACCCGGCTGGATATTCTTTAAGAGAAGTAGTAATTTTTAGGTTGAATGCTGTGTGGAATCCAAAGCTGTTTCGGTAAATTTTGTACTGTTACATTAAAATCATTTGCTTATATACAACTTCAAATTGATCTTTTACCCAGCATGATTTTATGATAATCATACATTGGCCTTTTCAAAACATTAGGTCATTGGATTATATAGATCTGCTGAGAAATTATTTTTGTGCAATTCTAAACTAATGTCTATATAATGGTTTTACTGTTTTGAGACAAGGCCTCTGTGTGGCCCAGGCCAGCCTTAAACTTGAGACCATCCTCCTGCCTCAGTTACCCACATGCTGGGATTATAGACATGTACCACCACCCCCAGCCTTCTGTTATAATAATTTGAGAATAGTGTCAAAATAAGCACAGAATATGTGGTGAGCATCCCTCACCCAGGAATCTGAAATTCAAAATGCTCTGAAACAAAACTTTTGAGTACTGACATGCTGCTGAAAAAGTTTCAGTACTCAGAAATTTTCAGGTTTGCAGGTTAGTGAGGCTCACCGGGTAAAGTGTATGCAAATGTTCCCAATCCAAAAAAATTCAAAGTCTGAGACACTTCTGGACTCAAAGCGTTTCAGGTCGGGGGTATCAGTTTGTACGTAATGCACAGCAAAGTATTAGTGCAGTGTTGGTGAGGTGAGTGAACCAACTGGGCCTCATTTTCTTCTGAAAATGAGCTGATTGTTCTCGAAGATGGATTTCATACTTTACTGGTATTCCTTAAGTAATGCACAAGAATTAATTTAAATTGCTCAAGTAATTAGTTGTGTGTTTTTTGTGTGTGTTATGGAATTCCAAGTTAAAAAATATTTTCTTGTTTTATGTTTTGAGGTGGGGTTTCACTTTCTTATCCAGTGTGATCCTAATCTCTGACTTAAGTGTTCCTCTTGCCTCTCTCAGTCTTGTGGATAGCTGAGACTATACCCAAAATGCCTGATACAGTTAGCTTTTTACTACAAGCAGAGACACTCATCAAAGTTCTGTTGCTAAAGAAATCAGACATTCATTGAACTTGATGATCTCAAAGGTGCTTCTCAACTCTGCTATTCACTTGTACTTTTTTCTGAATTATTTTGTGTCAGGAATCGAGCTAAGAGCCAAGGATACAAAAAGTAGCAATGCCATGGATCTTGTTTGAGGATAGTTCATATAATAAGAATGAATTCTCTGTGCCTACGACTGAGTGGGCTGCTTGAGAAAGTATTAGTTGGGAGAGTTGTGGCTTTTACTTTTACCCTCACGAGCCACCTAGCACCCATCCATCTGGTGAGGCTAAGGATGGCGTAGGATTTTGTTCTTGAATTCATGGATGTGTTTCAGGAGAGATTGTGGGTCCCCCAACCCCTCTCTAAACAAGAAAGTTACATATTTAAATGTGCAAAGCGTTTGTAACTGCAAGTGTTAGGGAAACCTGTCCTAACTGAAATAATCACCTGCAGTGACTAAGTCTACAGATTGTAAAATTGTGTGAAAGAGTCAAAGATCTTATTTCAAAAACTACTTTAAAACCATTATACATTTGTCCAAAAACAAAAGAAAAGATACTTTCTTGCTCTCTTTGCAGTGGTTTTAAGTATTTCTATAAAATGAAGTATTAAGATTAGAGCTAGTTAGGATTGCATGGCTGACTTGCATAGATGCTGTATCTGTTTACTTCTTTCTCTGTGCTTAGTGCTTTAGATGCTGTACGTTTGCTTGCAGCAAAATTATACAGACTAATGTCAAGCTAAATCAAGCCCCATAGAGCAAATAACATCAATTTGAGATTGAGATTTTATGTTTCATGCTTTATAAATATACTATTTTAACAAGTATTCCAGTCACCATTATATATTAGAACAACTTCTACTTTATTTTTTCTCATTCAGACTGTTTATCATATATTTTTTGAAATCCAGTCTCTGCTGAATGTATGTGTTTGTGTTTTAAGCGATTGTGTAAGTGACTGCATTGGAACCAGATGTCCGGTGTGTTCCACCCCAGCCTGGATCCTAGACATCAAGATAAACAAACAGTTGGACAGCATGATTCAGCTTTATAGTAAGCTTCGGAATTTGCTGTATGACAATAACTTTTCAGGTAAATATTACTGTCTCTTATTAAATAGCTGGTAATTTGTATTGATCACATAAAGAATGTATAAGATCTATCAGCAATTCTAAGATTTATAGTTTCATTGTTGTTTCTGCTGTTTAACTCATTTTGAGAAATGACAGCAAAGAGTTTGGCCTTATTTTATAGGTGAGAAACCGAGATTCTGAGAGGCTAAGTGGTCTTGCCTAGTCACATATGTAGTTTGTGTAAGAAACACAAACTTCATGATTCGTTTGTGTTTGGAGGCATGAGCCTGATGTGTATTCCAGGCTGATGTTGAGCTCACTTTTAGTCCAGGTTGGGCTCACACTCAAGGAGACCTTCTTGCCTCAGCCTCCCAAGTGCTGGGAACCCTTTTTTTGATTGTTAGTCCAGACACTTTTTCACTACCTTGTAATTACTACTTTTTACACTTATTCTGATTTCTGTAGAATGTATGTAAAATAATGATTTTTGTCATTAAGAGTGCTTAACTTACTTAAATATACTTTTATAAGACAGAATACAATGTTCTTCCATGGTTCACTTTTGTAGACTGAATTAATTAGATAAGCACATTTTGAATTCATTTTCTTTCTATGTGAATGGGAGTTAATGTTTTTCAAATTGTTCTTAGACTCTGTGTATTAACTATGTATCTTCCTATTGTGCTTTCTGCTGAGAACTAATTAACTGTGAAAAGAAAGTAAAATGTTTTGAATCTCATAACTGGGTATTGGAATTGTCTTTTTACTGACCACATCCTGCCATTTTAGCACATGCTTACAGAGGAACCTTTTCTTGCTTGGCAGGTTGCCACGAATGATTGATAATACTAATACAAAATTGTTAAGGTTCGTTTTCTAAATCTTTTGTTCTTTGAATTCTGAAATGTATTACTGTCAACTACTAAAGATAAAGTTGATTAAACAAAGAAACACGGCAAATATTTTGAATTACTGAGCAGAGATCCCTATTTTTAAGAGAAATTTAAAGTATAGTGTACGTATGAGAAGTTTCCATTGCTTATCTGGATCGTTATATTTGGCTTCACTTTTTAAATGTTAAAATATGCTGTCATGCTAAAGTTTATTCATTTTCAGACGTAGTTATACACACCTTATTAAAGTGTTTCTTGAAATATAAGATTGTGGTTGTAATCCCTTTTAAAAACCCAACGAGGGGAAATTGTTTCAGTCTTCTTCTTCTAGTTGAAAAGGTTGGTTGTGTAATCTGCATCCCCTCACCCCATGTGGGTCTGTGGGTTCATGCAGGGATTCTCAAGCAAGTGTCCTCTACCCTTCAGCAGTACTCTGAGCTGTGTGCAAGGGGGAACCGGTGAGCCGTGAAGTGGAATGTGGCATATGAACAGTGTTCCTGTCTGTGGGACAGTGGTTTTCATCAGATTTTTAACAATATGTAACCTGCTAGGCTTAATAGCTGTTCATTGAAATTTGGGGTGTGACTCTGAGGTTCTCATTTTCATTTGACTTTTCACCAGTGACTGCATAATACAAACTGGATGGCTTAAACAAAGGCTTAAATGCGAGATCAAGATGTGGGTGGGATTGATGGCAACCCTCTGAGCTCTGTGAGGAGGAGCCTGCTCTAGCGCCATCTCCTGCTTGTTACTCAGCCGTCTCCCTGTGCACATGATGAGCTCCCTGTACAAGTCTTTGCCAACTTGTTTTATGAGGACCCTAGAAATAATGTACTAGGGGCCTGCTCTATTCTGGTGCACACACCATGTTAATGGTGTCTGCAGTGACCCTGTTTTCAATTAAGGCTACATGTTGAGGTAGTAGGGGTGAGGGCCTCACTGTATAAATCTAGGGAAGAAGAGGAGAGACAGTTTAACATGTGACAAGTAATGTGACATTTTCAAAGATGAAAACTTAAAGGTAGAGTAACCTTTATAGGTTAGCTACCAGCAATCATGGTGTGCTGGGATACTGGGTACTTTGTAGTACAAGGAAGGATAAGACAGACGCCTTTTCCAAAAGTGTTACTGTGGTGAGTGACGTTTGGATATTAGTATAGTTTTCACATAAATCCCTTAATAGTTCATCATTAAGGGAGATAATTAGGACAACTGAGTTTAGAACAAGTATCTGGGTGGCCCCTTGGAATACTGACTTATCTAAGCAGAGGTGAAGTTGGGTGAAAGAATTAGGGTAATTCATATTCCGAGTGGCATTTGGTGTTTGTTTTCATTTTAAGTAAATGAGAGGCTTTGAGTTCTATCCTGCAAAAAAAAAAAAAAAAAAAAAAAAAAGAAAACAAAAAAGAATAATAATCACTTTGGTGTTTCCTAGACCATCAGCACTGCCGCAGTGCTTCTCTCCTCTTCTGCTGCTGGGCTGGAACTAGGGCTTTGTACCTGCTGGGCAAGCACGCAGCTGCTAACTAAGTCTCCAGCCACTCAGCACTGCTGATTTTAAGATGAATTGAGATTTTAGATAACACATAATCAGAAGTTTAGGAGCGGCAGAGTTGTCTTAATCCCCATAATTGGTACCTGAGGACAGAAAGGACCTGTGGTATATGTTACACAGGTTGGTCAAGTAAGTTTCTTGCACTTGTTTTCATTTAGAAAAAATTTTTGTTACAAGTATGGCTACTTACTACTTTTTTTGAATTGGATAAAGTTGGCATTGCTAGGACTAATCCATATCCTAGAAGCTAAACTTAGTTAAAATAATTTTAAAGCAAATTCTCAAATTTTGGCTTACATAATTCATTTTATAATTGTAACATTCTTCTTTGCTACCCTGATAAGAAATGAAAAAAAGTCTGAAGTATGAATATACTGAAATATATCTACCCAGTTATATTCATTTACATGCTACAAAGCTTTTTTCTATTTTAATATTAATTGCATTGTTATCAACTTTTCCTCCCACAGCCATCCCAAAACAAGCAAGCCTTGGAGGGTATTTGGAATTTATTTTTCTGAAGCAATTTCTTTTTTTTTTTTTTTTTTAACGGTACCGGGAATCGAAATCACGACCGCCTGTTTGCAAGGCAGGTGCTTATGCCGCCGAGCTAAATCCCCAGCCCCCCTGAAGCATTTTCTTTTTTGAACTCAAGGAGTACTGAGCTACAGTTCCTCCTACCCCTGTGGTTTAGTATATTTCAGTTAATTGAATGATTAATTAATGTATTGAGACAGGCTGTCCTCTGCAGTCAAGGTTGGCCTGGAACTCACGATGTGACCCAGACCAGTATTGAACTTGTGATCTTTTTGCTTCAGCTTGTGGAGTGACTGGGATTGCAGGCATGTGGCACCCTTCCCTGCTTTATAGTTTGTCTGTCAGTACATTTAACACAGTGCCTTTGTGTTAGTTCACATATTACGCTGTTCCAAAAGTTTAAGTTAGACATGTATATTAGGTAGATGCAATTAATAATTGGAAACAGCTATGGTCAGTCTTTTTGTAATGAGATTTAAAAGTGAGCTCATTGTAAGCTCCAAAATTGTATCTCTGTTAAATGGTCACCTGTTGAAGATGATGAATTAAGTGGAATGGTTGAGCATCTTTCATTTTTTTTTAATCTTTTTAAAAAACCTCGTAGTTCACAATTTATCTTTCAAATGAACCTTGTTACTTGCATTTATTATAAAATATATAATTACTGTAATTAAGGTGGGTAATTAGGAAGAAGTTGTCAAATCACAGACATTATATAGATGGTATACTGGAGATAAAGAAGCCTGATTTATAGTAATACTCGGCTAAAATGAGCTCCCAACTACTTCACCAGATTTTTTTTCTCAGTTCAGTGTAATTTAAAAGGAAGAGATTGTCAGATTTTTTTGATGGGTATTTATGGATAATTTTAACTTATTCTTTATAACATAATCAGCTTTTTACTAATAGAGTTAAATTTAAAAGTTTTTATTTTCTCTTGAACGCTGTGAAATTAAATTAGACCTTGCAGGTGTTGGTCAGGTTCTGTGGACGTGTTGGTGGTGTCGATGTTAGAGATTCTTTGATTGTGCTTTCATAGGATCACAATTTCCCTTTCTGTCTTTGGGTTTAGAGAGAGCTACTGGCCTTTCTGAAGTGATTGTGTAGTGTTTCGTATACGCTATAACCTTTTATAATAGGCTAAGATGAGTATTGCTGTGCTGTTTTTTAAATGGAACTAAATACTACTTAACTTACAAGGTAGACACTTCTTAGTAAAGATGGTAATGTCATACAGAAGGTAAGCTGAGTACTTTGATTCTTTTAATGAGACTAGTTAATAAAGGAGATTTCTCAACTTCTGTTGTGAAACCTGTAATAGAGGATAATTTGAAAGGCACACAGTGCCCATCATTTTAATCCTTTCATGTAGATTGATAGTGAAATTACTTTTTCTAATTGCTTCTCTTTTCTATAGTTTTTATTAAGTTTTATGAAAAACTTGGCTAGGCAGCACCTTTGTTTGTGTTGTACTCTGAAGTGTTCAATTTCAGAGAATTAGAATTCTTTAAAATGTCATCACTAAGAAATGTACTGTGTAGAGGAAAGACTAATTTTTCTTCCTGAAATGAATGTGATACTTTATTAAGCATAGAAGCATTCACCCACTACTAAACTGTTGTGGCTATTAATAGTATAGTTTATATTTCAGCGATAGTATTGTTTAACAGTTTGTCTTACAGATGCTGCATAAAACTCAGAAATTTACAGTCATGTTTGCAGTTCTGGGTCCTTGCTTAGTTATACCAAATTAGATAAATAAAACTTTTTTGAGCAAAATTATTGTTAGTAAAATTACTGTGTACATATGAAATTACATGAACATTTACTGTCTTCATTCACTTCTTTATCTGTTAGGAAATCATGTATATCTGAATGTGAAATCTGTTGTCCTTTTAGTTTTAGAAATTTTAGTCAATTAAGTGTGTTATTACTACTTCTAAACCTTACTTTTAAGTGACCAATTCTCCATTTTTGTAAGGACTGTAAATATTGAGGATTTCAGAATTTGAATGATTCTTAATTGGAAATATTGTCACCTGTGTTTAAAAAATAAATTCTAAAAACTCAACTACAAGTTTTTACAAACTTACCTGAAGATTAACCTTTAAGTCTTTGTAATCCTGAGTCTTTCTTAAGAAGTAATGTTGGTAACATTTCATTTTGACCTTTCCTCTGGGCTTGAGATTATATAAAAAACGGCTTAGTTTTGAAATCTGCTTACCACTGCAAAGAAAAGACCTTGTGAAATTTAGATGTAAAGCCCGTGTTAGTGGACAGCTCATTCAGATCCTTGTGATTTCTAAGATTGGGTCTCAGTAGTGCCTCGTGGACCAGACCCGGTGCTGTTTGGCTTCAGCGCGGGAAGGCAGAGCAGAGCAGCATCTGCCTTTCTCGGGGTGAACACTGCAGCTTCTGGCTGGGGGGCGGCTCGGCTGCCTTCTGTCTATTCGGCAGGCAGACCTGTGGAGTTTTTATATAGTTTGACTGATAGGATTTTTGGTTTTTGATAGGCACAGATCACATCTGAAATTCTTGCTCTATCACTGAGCTCCCTCCCCAGCTGTCACACTAGTTTTGATGTCCTTTGTATAAGTAAAAGAGACACTTCTGTGACCCATCCTCAAAGTACTCCCGTTTACTTGGAACACTTGGCCGTGTCATGCTCGCCCCTCTGAAGCAGTTCTGGAAGTCTTTTTGTGGGTGTCTTTACTTGACTATCATGGCTGACATGGTGTTGTGAATTAATTCAAAATATTTCCCTTTCATGGTCATTTTGACTTTGGGGACGAGCCAGAAGTCCAGCGATGCTAGATCTGGTGAATAACATAGCGGGGGTCACACTGTAATTTTTTATGAAGTCCCTGGGTAGCAGTATTCAACATAAAAGAGCACTTCCAAAACTGCTTCTGCAAATGGCAAGAAAAATGGGACATGTGTTTAGAGTGAGTATTTTGAGAGGGATTAATGACTATCTGTATAACTTCTAAAATTTAAATTGGTCATATATTTTGCTAATAGTATTATACCCATAGTGGGATAGCTAGATCAAGTGGTACTTCTGTTTTAATTTTTGGATATTGGATTTTGTCAAATACTGTTTTCTGTGTTTGTGGAGAACATCATACAGTTTCACTTGTTGATACAGTAAATACATTGATTGATTTACAAGTGCGTCTTTAAACATAAAGCATTAAGGGTCTGGGGATTTAGCTCAGCGGCATAAGCGCCTGCCTTGTAAGCAGGCAGTTGTGAGTTTGATCCCTGGTACCGATAAAAACGAAAAAGACAAAAAAACAAACCAAACAAACAAACAAAAAAAAAACCCCAACATTAAGCATTAATGTCTTATTAAATTCCACATCTATCCTTTTCTTTCTCATTTTTAAATCTTGCATTTCTTTAATTTTGGAGTGTCTTTTTCATGTCCAGCTTTTGTCTGCTTTTGGTGAAATATCTTTATGTTTTGTTCTCTGCTGTACCTCTGATCTCTAGAACACGGTCTAGCACAAAGTAGGACTTGGTAAATACTTGTTGAATGAGAGGCTAAGTACCTGCAGCAGAGGAGGCCATAGTCTAGAAATAGGTATGCAAATAGAAAGTGACCACCTTAGTAGAGCTGTAACAGAGCTCTTTGGAAGTTCAGGATGCGTAAGACTAATCTGTTTAACCAATTATTTTCCTTTCTTTCTGTCAGATTCGAAAGAAGATAAATGTAGGCCAAGTATATTTAATGATGCAGAAAGCAAGAAAAATTCAATCAAAATGTGGTTTAGTCCTCGAAGTAAGAAGGTCAGGTATGTTGTGCAGAAGGTTTCAGTGCAAACCCAGCCTCAGAAGATGAAAGATGGAAACACTCAGCAAGATGCAGAGTATGAATTTACTTCTGCAACTCCCCCTACAGTTGTTTCTAAGAAAACTAAAAAAGCTTCCAGAACATGTGCAAAAAAGCAAAAAAAGAAAACTTTAGCTGAAATTAATGAAGAATGGAATTTAGATGCAGAGAAGGAAGGCAATGAGCTTGATCCCAAAGAAGAAGTTAAGGAAAAGCAGGTGTCATTCTGTAGCCAGCCAGCCATTATTGGTAGTCCACAAGTAAATGGCGAAATAGACTTGCTTGCCAGTGGCTCGGTGTCGGAATCTGGAAGTTACGGAAGCTTCACCGGGGCCTTTCTACCACTGGCCGAGCATATAGAGTCTCCAGAGAGTGGCAGCAATAATGAAGTGACACTTGAGGAAGGCTGTGGAAATGATCTTACTTCTGAGATGTCTTTGCCATTAGATTGTAATGGAAAACGTGGACATAGCAACAGACTTTCTAGGCCTGTTTCTAAGAAGTGTAGAAGCAGTATTCCAAGCACCAGTGGAGAGATAAGGCAAACAGGGCTCTCAGAAAACATAGCGTTGCTTGGCTGTTCACCGCCGGCTTCAAGCAAACTTCAAGTTGACACAGTAAGGAGGGAAAATGATAATAGATCAGATGACTCCATCAGCCATTCGCCTTGTCCACTACCTTCTGCTCTGAGTAGTTCCAGTTATAGACGACTGATGTCAAGCCCCTCTGCAGTGAAGGTGTCCCCCCATGACTTGATGGCCAGGAAAAGAAATCACAGAGGAGAGACTTTGCTTCATATTGCTTCTATAAAGGTAGGATGCTTTTTCTAATAGAAAGAAAGAAAGCGTTAACTTTCTATTACTGTAGCAAATACTTGAGAGGATCAGCTTATACAGAGAGAGTTTACTGTGGTGTATGGTTTTGGGGGCACTGGTCTATGACAGCCTGGTCTCATCATTCTGCCTGGTGTCATGTCCTCTTGTGACTTTGTTCAGTTTGGGGCAGCATGTCACACAAGTGTATGATGAGGCAAAGCCCTTCACCTCGCAGCCAGGAAAAAAAAGAGGTAAATAAGCAGAAGTACTGGGGTCCTGTTTTGTTCTTCAAGGCATGTCCCTGTTGACCCAAAGGCCTTCTCCCAGGCCCCAATTCCATCAAGAATGGAATTTAGACACAGAAAAGGAGGTGTAAGGAAGGATAGTATAAATACTATCATTCTGGTGACCATGTCTGCAACCCAAGAGGCTTTGAGGGACATTGGAGATGAAAAGTGGAGTAGTGACCAGCTGTGAAGCAGTTTCTTTGGGGTTTGTAAGAATTGGGCTCAGATTTCTGTGGCAGATGTGATATTTTCAGTTGACGAGAAAAACACTTCAGAGACTGCCCGTGTGCCTCAGTGCAGTGTCTGACTGGGAAGCAAGATCTTACAGGACAAAACCAATATTTGGTCTTTGGCAAGTGCTTTTGCCTGTGTCTGTGTTTTGTTGGCCCTGTTTTTGCATGAAAAGTAAATGTAGACAAGTGCTAAACTGAGGTGGCAAATATTTTTCCCATGCAGAAGAGCTGGGGGCCGTGGGAGAGGGGATGCCCTGTGTATCGCCTGTGTCTGAAAGGGGGTTTCCTCATCAGAACTGTCTCTTGAGTTCTGCCACAAGGATGTTGTGCTGTCCAGGCAGCCCTTTCTTCTACTGGCCTATTTACTGAGGTTAATTCTTGTAGTTACAGTGTCAGCACCTGGTGATCCTGTTGCTCCCTGGAGCCTGGCCCATTTTCTAAGCAGGAAGCCCACCAGCAGGGTTTAGTCTTTGCAGGTGACAAGAGCAACCAGTGAAGGAAGTGGGCAGCGCCACCGCCCTTCAGAGCAGGAGCCCATGCTGGACTTCGTGAATGTGTTACGTGGTGACGCTTAGTACTATGTCAGCGTCACTTTTATGTTCTCTTGTGACTCTGTATGGTAAATTCACCCAGGAAATCCCTGGGGTTTGGATGGATTGAACGGTTCAGTTTTGGGAAGAAGGAACTCTTAGGGGCGCCTGAACGTGAGGCTGGCGGGGCAGCATACACCAAATGTGCAGTAGACACTGAGTGTGGGCCACTGGCTTTTCTTTCTGTGTGAAGAAAGGGAAGAGCACAAAAATGAGTGTCTCCCAACATTTAGTGGCTTTCCCCTGGTTTTTATTCCACAGTAATGTAGCGAACTTGGTCTTGATGCCAATGGGAAGAGGGGAGAACCCACCACAGGCCGTGCTGAGGGTCTCATGGGAGACCCGTGGACAGCCAAAGCTGTTGACGGTGGCTCTGGTTATGTTTCATTGTGATTTCTGCACAGCACAACATAGAAGGCAGTCTTTTTTTAATCATCTTTGGATAAGTAAATATGTATCTCTATACTCACAAACTATTCTAATCTTAATTTTACAATGTTTCTGATAACTTTACAGACAGGTAGTATAATGTAGTATTTGGTTTCTATATTTTGCTTTTTGGGAATTTTTATATCACTAGGTAAGCATCCACTTTAGCAGTGAGGAAATTTTCTTCCAAATATAAGAATAATTTATCTTTCTATGGCATGTACCTATAATCCCAGCCCTTGGGAGGCTGAAGCAGGAGGATTCCTGTGAGTCCTAGGCCAGTCTGAGCTACACAGTGAAACTCTGTCTCAAAAAAAAACCCAAACCTTTTAAATGAGCACCAAGAGATGGAGAGAGGGAGGAGGGATGCAGTGGGATGAAAGGAAGAATTAAGATGTGTTATATACATCCCATGGTAAATGTAATCATTATTTATTGCAAATATATAGTAGTAAAAATAAAGAAATTAAAAATAAATGAGGATTTCTTGAGCTTAAGTTTGAACCAGAGTTTGATAAACTTTTTTAAGGATGTGATTAACTTTAGCATTGCAAGACAGTCTGTATCAAAACTGTCTTTTTTCTATTCTAGGGCAAAAGTCGCAATATATAAACCATTAAAACTTTCATAGAAAGTCAGGGGGCTGAACCAAAGGCATGGAAAACAGCTTCAATAGAATATTAAGACAGGAAAACTAGTCATAGGATCTGTCTGGGGGGGGGAGGCTGTCCTCACTGACCCCCTCAGGACCGCTGCTGCGGGTTTTATCAGATGGTGAGTTTACCTAAGGGCTTGCCAGAGTTAGGTACCCATTTTGAGCCAGGTGTGGCCCATGCCTATGATCCCAGCATTCTAGGAAGATCACAGGTTTTGAACCTAGCCTGGAGAACTTAATGATACAGGATTGACAAAGGCACTGCTGTTTTACTTTTTAGGTTTTGTTGTTGATGGTGGTATTTTCGGCATTTGTGTGACAAGACAAAAAAAAAAAAAAAAATCAAACTCAGGTGACAGTGTATTCAGCTCATAAGGATTTTTTTGTTTTGTTTATTTTTTCATAAGAACATTTTTACAACAAACACTACTGTTAATTTGTGATTTAAAAAGCAACAGAAATCAGTGAGGTTTTCTAAATGTATCAGGCTCTGCCGGCAGATGAAGAAAATATTTTTGTGTTTGCTGATTAAGTTTAAAGGAACTTTTTGGGGGAGGGTACCGAGGACTTTCACACAGAATTCAGCCCCTTAAAATGTTGGGACAGGGTCTCACCTTACAGTTTAAGCTGACACTGAACTCACTGTGTAGTCAAGGATGGCCACAAGCCCACTTGACCCTCCTGCCTCAGCCTCCACAGGTGCTGGGATTGCAGGCCTGTGCCACCACGCCTGACTAGTGACCCTCTTCCTTCATCTTCAAACCCTGCAGTAGCAGCCTGAGTCCTTCTCACTTCCCATTTCTTTGACATAAAGGGAGTGTTCTCTGCTTTTAAAGACGCACGCGATTAGATTGGAGACACCTGGGCAGTGCAGCGTCCGCACCCCGTGTCTTTGCTGCCTGAATCGTGCTGCAGAGCTCTCTTTGCCCTGCGAAGTTCCCTTTGCCCGTGAGCTAACATGTTCACAGGTCTGGGGGTTTGGATGTGGTCATTTGGGAGTCATGCCTCTGAAGTCATTTCCCAAGACTGCACCCTGCTTTCCTTCTGAACTTCCAGGAGGCAGTTCCCTGCCTATGTGACGGCTGGTGCAGACCCAAGCCGAACTTGGTCCCCAGTCTGTAACTCTCTTTACCTCTATTGTTCGAGTAGCTGTAATCTGTGTTGCTCCTTCTTGGATTCCTGTTGTGGTTAAAATGCTGTTGAGAACATCTTACTGTGAGTTCATGAGAAAGCATTGTCAGTAGAAATTAAGGTTAACACAATGTTTATTTGTCTAATAGTAATGCTAAGAACACAGAAAAATATTCCTTTTTCTGTGTATGTATCACTGTTGCTTGAGAGTTTGTAGGTGTTGGAATCTCCCTCCCCTCCTTTTTCTGGCACAAATTCTTGACAATGATTACCTATAACTCACGCTGCAGTTGTGAACTCACTGAAGAAGAATATCTTGCGGTAGAAGGTGCCGTGATGTGTTTCCTTACAGACAGAGTTGATCATCTTGTGAAGGCCACTTAAGGTCAGGTCTCTAAAAATACAGCAAAGGAGGTGGAGATCTCTAGAGCAGAGAGAAAGTTCCTTGTGAGAAGTCTCCTTCCGAGCTTGGCTTTGTAATTCATTATACTCCATAAAGCAGTTATATTATTATTACACATCCTTTATTCTAGCACCACAAAAAAGTAGCAGAGGACACAAAAGCAAACTGGCATCTGTGGAATGTTCAAGATTTTAATCATGAAAGAAGAAAATACAGATTTTTAACTCTGGAGTGCTCCTTGGAGTGAGTACAATACTCGCCTTTTCCAGTCCCCACGAGCCATGTGGAAGTGTGCTTTGGTAATGCCACTAGCTTATTGTAATGTTGGCTGGGAAGTGTGAGACCCTTATGAAGTTAATTTTGTTAAGCAAATTCTGACTAGGAAGTCACAGTGTTTAATGTGTGTCAGTGTTCTATTCCAGAAGAGTGTGTGTGTATGTATGTATGTGTTGTATTTAAAACAACATCTAATTGCTAGAAGAGGAAAATTTTAGCAAGTTGGTTGTGTTGGGTAAGTCATTTTTATTGTACTTAATTGCAGTGTCCTATTATTTTTATCATTAATTAAATTTTAGAAGAGCTAATCTTTAAAAGGAAAAAATTGTGTGTTTTTGGAGGATTGATTTATATTTTGAAATATGCATATATCTGCAGCATGAGAATATGTGAAGAATCTTTAATGAAGTTAGCAGTGTAGAAATTCAATAGAACATACACATACATTCTTCATTTTCAGGCTTTAAAGTGTTACTTGAAAATGCCAACTCTATTTAAAATTTCTTGTAAGTCTTAATAAATACTTTCCTTAGGTAATTTTTTTTTGGCTATGGTTTAAGGAAGCCTCAGTTCTTTCAAGTGTCAGATCGAATGCTCCTTACCAGAAAGTATTCTGTTAGAGAAGAAAATAATCTTAAAAGAGGAGAAACACGAGTTAATTTATTTCCTTGAAACTTCATATCTACTCAAACTTAGCCTGGTACTCTGGACCCTATCTCATTATCATAATTTTATTTATGTGCATGACATTAAATTTACATAAAAAAAGATGAAAATATGACAAACTTTTAAGTGCTAGGGAGGAGAAAATAGATTGAGTATAAAAAGCAAGCAGTTTGCTAATGAGCTGTAAGTCTTAGGAGGAAGAGTGTTATAATAGAAGACACCTTTGATAGTAGGAAGCGGTGACATGAAAGAAAAACAGCAATTGTCTGCAGCTTAAGAGAGGCAGCTTGTGTTGGAACTCACTGCATTCCTGTGTGACTGTTGCCGTGTGACTGCTGTTTCACATTCATGTACAATTAAATGTAGGAATTTTGGAGGATGTTTTAAAAATATATTTTGTAGAAATTATGTTGAAAGTAGGGAGTATGAGTGTTTCAGGCAGTTTGTCTAGTATTCAGGAGATTGTTTAAAATTACTCAGCTTTCTTTCTGGGTTGACTGGGAAGTAATTAGAATATAGAGCAAAAGTCTTTTAATACTTGATAGCTATTTATATATATATATATATATTTTTTTTTTTTTTTTTTTTTTTTTTTTTGTCTTTTTCCTTTTTATCGGTACCAGGGATTGAACTCACGACCGCCTGCTTGCAAGGCAGGCGCTTATGCCGCTGAGCTAAAGCCCCAGCCCCACGTGATACCTATTGTATTTTCTTTTTTCAAGGCAGGGTCTCACTGAATAGTTCAAGCTGGCTTGGAATTCACTACCAGCCCAGGCTGGCCACAGTGTCTCTGTGGTCTGCCTCAGCCTTCTAAGGGCATGCACCTGCACACCCAGCTAGCAACTTGTATTAGAAGTATAGAATTTGCATTCTTAGGAATTGGTTGTGCCTATTTATTTTGTGAAGCAGAGCATTGAATCCAGAGCCTTTACACTGAGATACATCTCCACTCTTACTTTTTATTTTGAGTCAGGGTCTAGCTAAGTTGCTAAATTTTCTAGGGTGATCTTACCTTAGCCTCTCAGAATACCAAAAGTACATTTGTGTGAATCAGTTTGAGACACATAATGCTTACTGTTAGGCACATTAAACATATAAGGACATTTTTGTTAACCTTGGACCATAACAGTGTAAGGGGTGTGTGTGTGTGTGTGTGTGTGTGTGTGTGTGTGTGTGCGTGCATGTGTATTTGTGTGTTTTCTTAAACTTTCGGGCTATATTTGGAAAATAGCTCAAAATATGCAGATAGAAATAAATAAAAATAAAAAGCAAATAAAAGCCAAAGCTTTATATTTTTAAAGGGGCATAGGACTTATGTATTATCAACTCAGTAGAGGAAAAACTTCATTTTTGAAAAGTGTATTGTCTAAGTTGCAGTTCAGGAGTGAGGGGCGATGCTGGGTTACCGCACACAGTTGGGTGACTGCAGATAACGTGCCTTATATTTCAGAAGCCTGGAAGAAGGATTGTGAATGTTTTCACAATAAGGAGCTAATACATGTTTGAGAAGATAGATATGTTTTTCTTGATTTAAACATTCTACAGTGTATATAGATATATCAAAAGTCACGTGACATCCATAAATATGTAGAATTTTTATGTTTTTATGTCAGTTGATGACATACAAACTTTTGTATAGAAGCTTTTATTCTCCCTTAAAGAAAGAAACATTTCACAAAACCAACTGGACACAAAGCTGGATATGTAGCTTTATTTTTATGCCACCTTGTTTAGATTTAGCTCTGTGATCTTCATGGACAGTGCCTTTCTCATGTTATCCTAAAAGCACTGATTTAGTTATGTTTGCCATGACTGTAATAGTGTAATTTCACGAGAATTTACCTTTATTGTTCTAAAAAAGCAGCAAAGCAATTATCTTTTATACTGTAGCAAGAATTTTTTTAAAGGCTTCAAGAGTGGACAGTACTTGCTTGAATACACAATCAAATATGAAAGATAGATGTCAGGTTTTTTTCCACATTCGATTAAGGGACAGGATGAAGAAATGACCGTATTCAGTAGTGTGAGGACTGTATAACTCGGCTCCCAGTGAAGGACCAAAAAGGGGAGAGTGAGGCCCAGGGGTGTGCACCTAAGTGATAGATCTTGTGCTTAATTAACATGCAGGAAACCCAGGTCCAGTTTCCAGCGACCCTCCTACCCCGAACCAGGGGTAAATATTAAATGATGATTTCATCCATTGTTTTGAAATTTTCTTGGTCTTTTTTTCCTGTTATGTTAAGCAGCAACTTCTTCTGCCATGAACATACTTTTGAGCAAATAAGGTGAATAAAAACTAAAACATTAGAATAAATAGAGCAAGTATCAGTAAAGTAGCCATTTTGGGCAATTATGACGCTAGTTTCACTGAATAGTGTCTTTCTCTGTGAGTGCATGTCTATGTGTTTTACTACTGAGAAACCATTTTCATGTGTGTTCAAAATCCTTTTCCACAAATGAAATGATAACTTTAAAAACTTGATTATGTGGGCAACTGAAATCAGTAGACAACTCTCAGGAGTACAGTTGGCCAATAAATAAATGCATGAAAAAAATGCCATCAGAAAAATGCAATTTAAAACTATACCGAAATGACATCTTACTGCAGAAAAAATGGCTATCACAAAATCTAGTGATTAAAAAATGCTTGTGAGGACATAGAGAAAATGGAATTCTTCTGCATTCGTTGGTGGAACTACTATGAAAATCTGGAGAGTCTCAAAAAACTAAAAATAGAAATTCCATTTCATCTAATTGTGTTCCCTTCCGCCCCTTTTTAGGTATCTTTCCAAAAGAGTAAAAATCATCGTCTTTCAGGGATAGATGCTTACCCATGTGTATAGATCACAGTTTGTGATAGCTAGATCTTGGAAGCAACGTATGTGTCTATCAGCAGATAAACAGATAAGGAAACGTGGTATTTTTATATACACCAAGGAGGACTACATCACCATAAAGAAAGGAAGATAAACTTGAGGCAGTTGTAGGTAAAAATGGATCCAACTTGAAGATATAATGTTAAAAGAGATGTCAGCCAACAAGCTGGTTTCTCTTATACGAGAAATACTATATAAACACACAAAGAGCAAAATAGGAGAGAGAGACAGAGAGTAGGGAGAAATTCAAATACTTCCCAAGCTACATAGTCCATTGTTTCAAAAACATTTTAATGTATATATTAATTCATTTCACTTGCATTAGTAATTTATCTTAGTTCATTGAAAAGAACTATTTGTTTCATTCTGCTTAATAAGAATCTTTGGTCTGTCTTGTACTCTTGAGTAACTATTTTGAAAATGATAATACACAGTGTACTAACAATTCCCTTGTTTTGTTATAAAATTTTGTTCTATTTTTTCATAGAACAAAACTTCATTATGATCAGATGATCATTGGCCATTGGTTCTTTATTTAGTATCTTGAAAAATACTAGGGTAGGGTTGTTGATTTAGTATCTTGAACTGAATTTTGAAAAAGACTGCCTCAGGACTATTTATACATGTATAACTTGCTGCTTAGCTTATGAACAATAAGTGAAGAAGATAGAGTGTTTAACACAAACTATCAGTATCTTGCTTGTTTCTGATGCTTTTAAATGTTTTTATTTTTTCATTGTTCTACCAGGGTGATACATCGTCCGTTGAGTATCTCTTGCAAAATGGAAGCGACCCAAATGTTAAGGACAATGCTGGATGGACCCCATTGGTACTTTTCTTTTTTCCTTTTATTCTGGGGATGTTTGCTTTTTTCTCCTCTCTGTGTTTATGTTTTATAGTTTATAGTTATGTGGTTGTCTATATATCATCCTCTGCCACCTACACACACATTTGTAGTCTGATGAATTTATTTTTCACTGAATATGAAAAAATAAGTACTTTCCATCTACCTCTTCAGTTGTGACAGGCAAGAAATTGGTTACCTTTTGACTGCTTTACATTTAGAATCCAGCTATACTACACTACTGAATTTAGCTAATGTACGGAGGTAACTACTATTCTTGGCATGAGACTTCATTTTGCAGCAGGAATGTCATTGGAGCCCAGCTGTGTGGAATGCAAAGAAGTTAGAAGCACCGAGTATGGCATATGATCTCAAAGCAGTGCTGCTTACTGAAGATCTGTCTTCGCTTTAGTTATACCCTGTCCGATGTAATTGTAAATAGATCAAAGAACTTTCTTACATTAAACATTTTTAAACCTTTGCTTTTTATTACTATAAATATAATATGAAGAGTACTCTGGAGGAGAAAATGGCAGAATCACTTGGAAACAACTGGTACCTAGTGCAGTTACACTAAGAGAATAAACATAATGTTTGAATACAACCACCGAAGAATCAACAAATGAGGTAGATATGTATAACTTACAAACTAGAACTTAAGAGACACTAGACCAGGTGCAGGAAAAGTGTGACAGTATATGTAATGATGTCTTCTTGCCAAATTCTTAAGCACAGAGATTTTTCTGGACCAGCATCCCTGTATTTTTGGGATTTGGCTGGCTTACTATTCTTTCTCAAAGGTTACACTTTAGTTTTAAAGCCACCAAGGCAAATTGTAATAAAGATTGATGAGTGATTTAGGAGGATCTGATGCCTAATTTGAATTCCTTTCTCCTAAATAGACCTACAGATGGTGAGCCTGTGTCTCTATTATGAATAGAAATAGATGTACTAAACAAGCATGGTATGCCAGGGGTTTAGAAGTCAACATAGTGACATTGGTGGAGTTCTTTAGACATCAGGAAAGATTTGCATGTAAGGCATCTTTGAACATTTTGCTGGTAGCGGTTCTGACATTCAGTTATTTAGCTCTTTTTGTTTGTTTCTTTAGTCCCGGGGATCGAACTCATGAGCTTGCATTTGCCAGGCAGGCACTTGTGCCTCTGCACTATACGTCTTGCCCTCAGCTCTTTTTGAATACCCACTCCTTGTATCACTGACACTAACCATCCAGTAGTACCACGTGTCAGCAAAGAGAACTTGTATGCTAAGCATATCTTCCTAGATTTGGGTAGATATGTGTTTGTGGTGGTTCACCATTCATGTGTGATCTGATGTAGTGAAGCACAATTTCAGATGTTATACATGGTGTGGTTTTTAAAAGGTTTGTCTTACTGTTTAATTGTGGGGTAACTTAGGAGGAACAGCTGGACTAAAGCTACATTTTATTTTACAAAAAGAGCATTTGACCCAAGACTTTTCTTTTCCTATGAATTGCACAAAGATTATTGTTAGTGACTTCTGCTCTGTCCACTACATAGAATAATGTACTGACTGTGGTTCTGGTTTCTCTCTCTGCCATGTGATGGATGTTACATGATCCTTTGCTTTCCCTTCTTGTAATTAGCACGAAGCCTGCAATCACGGGCACCTCAAGGTGGTGGAGCTGCTGCTGCGGCACCAGGCCCTGGTGAACACCACTGGCTACCAGAACGACTCGCCGCTCCACGATGCGGCCCGGAGCGGGCACCTGGACATCGTGAGGCTCTTGCTGTCCTGTGGCGCCTCCAGGAATGCTGTGTAAGTGGCTGCTGTGTGACTCACCATTGGGTTCCGCATCGAAGATCAGCATTTGTGCTCATTTCTTTGAAGAAACTTAGGTATTTGGAGGAGATTTGTTGTGTTACTTCAGAAACAGTTGTCAAATCCATTTTTGAATTTTTCTTTTTATGGAAAAATTCATTTTTTATTCTCTATTGATTCCTACTTAAAATCATTGACATAATTACTTTTTCTGCTATTTAATTCTTCAGAATTATTTTAAATATTCCATTCTTTATATGTAGCATAACAGCAGTTAAAGTACATAAGAATGCAGATCTGGGGCAAGTGCAGCTGAATTATTTCCTAGATTTTTCACATTATTCAAATGAGGCTCTGAGTAAATTGTTTTGCAGTGTCAGGGCACAGAGGCACATTAGTGAATGCTGGCGGCTGCATTTTAAAATTGCTATTGTCAAGAGTATCACAAGCAAATGCTATATGTAGATTTTATATCTTTAATCTGTAACTTGGCTCATGTCTCTCTATACATTATTTTACTGTTTTCAGTTAATTAGGTTGTTGAAATGAAAATGCAAGAATTGCCTCTCTGTGCCCCCATTGCTTCTGTAGACTGGGAAAGAGCATACAAGAGTCAGGCTTTCTCTGGTTGCACAAGCAAATAAGAATTACAAAATGCAGAGCTTCTAGGTTATCACTTTTTATAGGTAACCATTTGCCATGATTAAAAGCAAATTAATAATGCTAGAATGTGCAATACCATTGTGGTGTTATTTTAGTAGGTGTGTCATCCGTCTCCTTTATTTCCCATTACAAATTATAAGATAGCTGTGATATATATAAGGTATATACATAATAGTCCCTTTAATATATTTTTCTCTGTGTGTCTTTATATGTTTGTATGTGGGTACACATGACTCTGACAGTACTTTATAAGGGTCTATCAGACAGGGTCCTTCTGTGGGCCTAGTAAGCCATTTGGAGAAGCAGGTGGTTGCTTGGGTCAGGTGAAACTGAATAGTTCCATCCTAGGATTCTTAAATCAGCTGTGACGACTATAATGAATGGAGCACTGGTCATAGTGTTAGGGAATCCAGCTTTTATTTGTGACTCCATTATTGACTTTATAGCTGTAGGCAGGTTAATTTCTACGCCTTGGTATCCTCACCTATAAAACACTAGTGATGCCTGCTGCTTTTCTATTTCTTAAGAGCATAGTGAGGATTAATGAGCCAAAACACAGAGCCTGGCCTGTGGCGTTTACACCATGAGTCTTACATTACAGTGTGAGGACTTAGTCAGCCTGGGCCAGTGAGTGAGTCTCCTTCAAAGGTGTCTTTCCGAAGAGATCAGGTACCTGCTTCAGTTGGCTCATCTGATAAGGTGACAACTCACGTGCCTCTGTGTGGCCCAACACTGTCCAGTAGACCTTTCTGCACTGATGGAAATGTCCGTGTCAGTGTTGGCATTCAGTATCTACTAGTCATCTGTAGCTGTTGAACAGTTGAAAATTGCTTGTCACCAAGATACTAAAATCATAAAATGTATTTAGTTGAAATAGCCCACCTGTGCCAGGTGACCGTCTGCATTGAACAGCTGGTTGACACAAATAGGACACTAGGGGAGGAGTGTCGGAGAGTTGGGGTTGCTGCCGGATGAGGACAGTGGCGCAGACGCAGATATAATGTTAGGCTTCAGGTATAACAGTGCATTGCTGTTTTTAAAGTTGTATTCTTTCTGACTGTTGGTTATCATATTGAAATACTTTCTTGTTTTTTGTTTTTGTTTTATTTTGTTGTACTTTTTATCTGATTGGCTTTACCAGTTTCCTACTGGTCTTGTCTTTTGATTCATTTCCCATACTGCAACCTCAGTATTTAAAAATATGTGTGTGTGTGTGTGTGTGTGTGTGTGTGTGTGTCTCGGGTGAAATCATATTACTTAAAAACCTTTAGGGGCCTCCTCATCATTTATTTAAAATACACTTAAAACTCTAAAACCCGGTTTTTAAGACCCTCACAGATCTAGGCTGCTGCTTGCTTCCCAGCCTAATGTCTCTCTTCCCACAGTTCCTCCCAGAACCCTTTTCTTCAAGCATTTTTTTGTATTAGTCTTTCTGAATTATTTCCTTCAAATGTGCCAGGCTGTTTTACCTTGTAGCCTTTATACATGGCTTTTACATGGTCTAAGAGTCCATTGTTCAAGAGGAAAGATTGCTTTCATTTTGGATAATGAGGAGAAATTTTATATCGTTCAGTATATGTTAGCTGGGAATTTTTGTACTGGAAATTGTTGAAGAGCGCTATCAGAGTGCTTACTGGAGAAACAGATTTAATACAAAATCTACAGGTATATGAGGATATACAGGATTGACCAGCAGAGTCAGCTGGGGAAGAATGCAGTGAAGCTGTCTGTCTGCGTGCTGGGGACCCAGAGGACCCTGTCGAAGGCCTGTTGCTCACCGTAGTGTCCCCTGCAAGGAGGCCACAGTGTCCATGCTGGAAGCCATGAGGCAGCATCCAAGGTGGAGGTGCAGACTGGAGCTCCTTAGGAGAGACAGAAACTGGTCTCCCCTCTGTCTGCCTTTCATTTCATTCAGGTGCCATCCCTGCCGGCTGCTGCCTCTCGATGGGTCAGTAAATTCCTTCAGCTACACCCAGAGCTATGCTGATCCAACCTAATTGGGTGTTTCTTACTCAGGATGACACAGTCAGTTAACCATCGCAACCTCACTGGCCTTCATCCTCCCCACCGCCTGCTGTGCATCCCAGTGTGACCCTAGGGCGAAAATTATGGTCACCACTTTAGAGCCATGATAGTATGTGGAGAATATTGTGTGCACTGGGGTGTGTGTGTGTGTGCATGCGTGTGTGTGCGTGTATGTGTATTAATAGATATGTAGAATGTAGGGGTTTGATACTTGTGCTGCCATTAACAGATTTTTCCTTGAAAGGATGTTGAATTCTGAAGTAGGAGATATTATATGAGCCATTGGACTTACTAATTCTCTTCTTGCCCTAGTTTTTTTTTTTTTTTTAAATGAATCACCTGCAACAAGGATAATTTATATTTTAAAGCTTTAAACACCATGTTGTTCTTTTGAATGATTGTCCTTTTTCCTGATCACAGCGAGCAAAGTGACTTATAAAATTAAATCGTTGTGTTTCCAATTGTGTAGTTCATAAAGAATTTCATTCATGGACTGTTGTGTCAGCCTGTCAGGCATGATAGGTTTGGCATTAGTAAAAATGCCATGCATACTGGATAATCAGTTTGTGCAGGTTAGGGTTTAAGTTTGTTCGTCTCTCTTCTCTCATTTTTACTGTTCATGGCACAGTTGTAGGTGAGTGTTTGTCATGTCATTCCTATGAGGAAACAGATAGTAAGCAGTTTTTCTGTATTCTGAACTCGTACTTTGTCTGAAACATTAAACTCCTGAGTTTAACCTTTTGCTAAGTGCTTCTTTTTCATCAGGCTTGGTGATCAGAAAGAATCCTGGTTAAGAAAATGGTTTTCCTATTTATCTGGTTCAGACTTAGGTATAACTTTTTGTGTTTTCTTATTTTTATTCTGTGTCTGTCTCCTAATAATGTAAATCTAACAATATTAATAGCAGTCACCGAGCTGGTACAGTACTATCTGCCAGCTTCTGTTTTGATCACTTTTAATGTATTCATCTGGTCCTCGTAATAATCCTAAAAGGTAGACTGCATTATTCTCAAGGAAATACAGTTGTTTTTAACTAATTTATCTAAAGTCACACAGCTTTTGATTGGCAGAGCTGAAATTGAAATTCAGGCATTTAAATTCTGTGTCTCATTCTCTCTTTTCCTTTTTTACTATTTTGTACTGAGAATTGAACCCAGGGGTTTTGTACTGCAATACCCTCATTCTTTTTTAAATTTTGAAGTAGGGTCTTGTTAAGTTGGTTGGACTGTTCTTAAATTTGAGATTCACCTGCCTCAGCTTCCCAAAGTACCAGGATGATAGGCATCCACCATCATGCCTGGCTTGAAACCCTGCCTGTTAACCACATGCCTGGCTGATGCCATCCTTTTGTGTGTAGCTATTTCTAAGGTATGTTCAGGCCCTCTTCCTTCCTTAAAGGAAAATCCAACCTTTGTTTTTAGTATGTGTGCTGCTGAAGCAGGCACATAAGCAGTTTATGTCATTTGTTCATTAGTGCCTAAAAGAATTCTTGGTGCCTTAAGAAAAAAGGGACTTGTTGAATGAATTAATAGTCTTCAAACTGATTACAAAGCAGTATTTGTAACTTTCCTTATGTGTCTAAGCATGTCTACTCATTCTCTATGTATCATACGCTTGTTGTTGCCAGTGGTAAAATATTTGTCTTACGTGTATGTAACTTACATCCATTTTCATGTAGACTCTACTGTCAGTGCGTATCAGAAGCAGTGACCCTCCAGTATTCCTTACTGAGTAAGCAGTGTCTTAGGGACGCTTAGATCTCCTGTCAAGGTTTTAAAATTTAAAATCTGTATTGTTAAAAGTTTTATATGAAAGATATTTTCCAAAGTATGATTTAAAATCACAGCCAAAGAAGCAGGGCATAGAGAAAACAAACAAACAAACAAAAAAAAAACTACAAAATCTGTCTTATACTCTGTTGTAAAGGAACAGGAAAATAAATCGAAATAAAGGGTATCCTGTTGGTCAAAGATCATGTAAATGCTTCAGTAATGAATACAAGTCCTAGGATTCACTATATATAAAATATATTACTTATATATAATTGTGCAATTCACTGAATTATAAGTCACTCTCTTTGATAGGCATGGAGAATTGAACTGTCAAAAGTGGTACATGTGCAATGTAAATATACTATCATGAATTACATGTAAATTTAGCAGCTAAGATGTGAAGATTTTCCTGTATCCTGAGAATATCTTTAAAATATATTGGTGTTACATTGACCTTTATAATTTAACTAACAGACACATATGCCTGTGGCTTTTCACAGCTGCATTTTGTCTCTGCCTCTAGCTCTGGGGTACACTGTTTTATTTCTTGTATTCGGCCTACACTTGAGCACACAGTCATGTTCCACGCTTCAGCTTGATAGGAGGCTTTTTTTTCTTCCTCAGATCCATACATTTTAACAGGTCAAGCTTTTCACATTCATGTCAGGATTCCAGTTTCTATGAGCTCAAGGCCGTTTCATTTGCCACTGTGTGTTCTTCACCTTGGAAATCTGTCTACATTTCATCATAGCACTTGTGGTTTGGTTTAGATTTTATCTGTTTGATACTTAGCTCTGAATGAGAATTTGTCCTCAGTAGGGTTGCAGGCAAGGACAGTGATTTCTAAGTCTTAACATAGTTTTTCAGAATATCTAATTTTAAGTTTCAAGGCTTTAGGTTTAATGCCAGAAAATAGAAAACATTGTAATTATACTTTTAAAAAATCATTTTGTAATCTTCCTTTGAAACTTTTTCCAGTAAAATAGTAAATTACTGATATCTGTCTTGAGTTCATGCTTTTGCAGTAAATCTTTTCTATGTTTGTTTTGAGATAAGAGTCTTGCACTGTAGTTCAGGTTGGCGTTAAACTCACTAAGCAGCCTAGGTTGGCTTTGAATCTTGGTGATCCCCCGCCTCAGCTTCCTGAGTGTTGGGATTACAAGTCTATATCACTATGCCCAGATATGTTACAGCAAATCTTTTTTTTTTTTTAAATATATATAAGTGATGGGGAATAACTCACTTGTCGCTGTCTGCGTGAACCATCACATTGGCAGTGCCTGCTGTTTCGTGTAACTTGTTGTTCTTCCTTAGTACCTGCAGGATGTTTTGTTTTTTTCCAGCAAAGGAAAAAAATCTTATTCTGTGCATTTTAAAATGATTTTTCACACTAGGCTTGTAATGCAAGTGTTCTTAATAGTATGCTATGTTAAAATAATATACTGAAGCCATGTACAGTCATATATACCTTGGTATTTGTTGTAGTCAGGGGTTGAAAAGAGAACAATTAGAATCAGGACATGGAGTTTATAATATTGTTTTATGATGGTCACCCAGAGTTAACTGCAGGAAATCTATCCACAACACCAAAGACATAGAATATTTAGCTAAGGGCCAAAATCCCACAGCAGTGTCCCGCATGAGTCCAGATGAAAACCCAGTACTCATGACAGTGCCTCCCACAAGTCCAACTAGAGGTCCAGAGCCCACAAAAAGGACTCATGCCAGTCTCTTTTACGGATCCGTGCCGGGAACGCCCAAAGGTCAGCGGTAGAGGCCAGAAAGTCCATGCTAGCGGGGTGAAGGAGCTGTGCTGGTGGGATGAGGGTTCTACACTGGAGCCGAGAAGTCACACTCAACAAAGACCAGGGCTGTCCTGAAAAGCACCACAGCCATCCTCAGTGACACAGAGGCCCTGAGCTTCTCCGACAACAAGCACAGTCGGGTATCTGCCAGGAAACCAGCATGACGAGTTCATCCTGGAGACCAAGTAGCACACATCTTCCCCTCCAGAGCCAGGAAACAATGCTTGATGTGAGGACCAAAGCTTCTCCAGGAGAACTTAACAGTTCAAATAGCAACACATAGGAGAACCCACAATGCCTCATGCCTCAGTGCAATAACTTCTCCTCCACGTTTCTATTTATGCTGGCAACTTTCCTCAGGTGGAACATCTGTGCTCAGTGCCGTGTTGATATAATCCAGCTGGTTAAAGTTGACCACCATTCTTAATCCATAACAGTATTCAATTGCTTTGTAACTCATTGATATGTGTTATCCATTCATATGTGTTACTATGTGATGAAAACACACCTTTTTTTGGTGTCCATATAATAAGAGATCTTACATGTGCCTATTTATTGCTGTGGTTTTTTGAAGTTTCTGCTTATAAACTGTGTCTGATTGCACGTTTGAGTGGTAACAGCAAAGCGGAAGTAGTCCGACAGTATTCACTTGGTTCCTTTTTCCGTGATGTGGGACTGGTTTAACTGATTATCTCTCATCTGTAGCCTTTGCAACTACTGTTCGTTAGTTTGCTAGCAGTACAAGAGAGCTAAAGCAACTTATGTATAAACAGAGGCCATTTGTAATCTAAGAAACTATATGCTTTAGGGACATAAGAAACAGTAACTTTTGTATAGTAAGAATCCTAAATGTAAACAGGAATCCTGCTGGCTGTTTTATAAAGCAATTCTTAGAAGGCAAAAGCTCCTGACTGGTTCAAGTGATGGTTTATTATTTTTTGGTTTAACTGCTGATTAGCTGATGGTAATACTTTTGAGAATCATTTTGACTTAATGATTTTTCATGTTATTGTGGACATCTACTTGTATTTGTATAAAATAACTATGCTGATGTCATCCAGTTTTTGTGGATTAAAATGCACTTCTATCTTTCTTTGAAATACACAATTTGTGAAAAGGTTCTTATGTGTTCATTGACTTTCTTGTCATTGTTACCCATTTTTGTACTTGGTGGTTTAAGCACTAGAATATTGGTTCTCTAACCCAATTTCTGTTTTTGGATTTTTATACCTGTAGCATTTGTGTGAGGAGATTGCTTACTGGTATGTGGCCATAATGATTTAGAGTATGAAATTGGTATGTATCAAAGTGGGTGAGCTTCTGAAATACTGTACTCTGAGTTTGTCTGCTCTGAAGTGAACAGTGACTTGCATTCCTTTGTGATAAACCAGGAAACTGAAAGACAGTCAGTTACAATTTACTTTAGCTGGAGGTCTTTGCCAAAGGTAGTAAACTGTGCAAACCTGGGCATACATAGAATTTGAGAATACACACAAACTTCTCAGTATTTCAACAGCACTGTCCAAAAAAGGAGTGATGATGATTATGAATAACAGTCAGTAGAAACATTTTATCATGGCCCATTGCTTAATCCACTAATTCCTCCCACCCCACCATGCCATCAAAGCAGCCTTCACACAGGCCATCGATGACATTATAGAGACAGCTCTCACGTGCGTGAGCTCTGTACAGTATCCAACAGTTGACGCTTTCCCTCTTTTCTTAATGTTCCATGGTTTCCTCTTAGACCTTTTCCTGCACACTCAATACAGTAAACTTCATATTGTACCATGTTTATTATTAATGTCCTATATGCCCCTTTGCAGTTTTCCTATGAACTGTTATTTGTGACTCTGTGGATGGAACCCTGAGCCTTGGCAAGTGAATTTTCACTGAGCTACATCCCTAGCCTTCATGAACTTTAATGATACCTGTCAAATTTTTATATATATCATAATGTTAAAAACCATACAAGAGTATAAATAGATGTTCATTTTGAAAATTTATTGCCATAGCATGATATGTTAATATGTTGAAGCTATATATAGTCATACATACCTTGGTATTCAACTGCTTTGAAATTCATTGAATATGCAGTCTGCATGCCAGAACTTGTTGGTGTGGGTTTCCTCTTGACTTACTAGTCTTTCCAGTCCAAAATTTGTTTGGGGCAGTTTGTTTGGTACTCTTTCCACCTCCCAAAACCAATTAACAGTAAGTATCTAGATATTGCTGTATAAGGCAGCACAATAATAGACTAAAAGACTAAAGATGGGCAATATTGAGTATTACTGGAGCAAACAAGGAAAATATGATCTTAGTCAAGTCTTTGGAACCTGCTTCTGTTTTTCTTGTCTGTAGACCTCAGAAGTTATACTGTGATCTCTAGCGCCTTTTCCGTTGTAACATTCTGTGACTTACAAATTAGTGTGCACACAGAGAAACCTGGATTACATTGTGTTTTGAACTATAGTATTTTGTTAAGTGATGGCTGTGGTTATTGTAGATTATATATACACATTGAAATTAACTTTTAAAATGCTGTGTTCACTGTGTTAATGTTTGTTATATGACAGTTTTCTTTTTAATGGATCTAAATGCCTATCCTGTGAATTTATTTAATCTTGTATTTGTTTACTGACTATGAAGCCTATAATAGCTATAGAAGTTGACTTATGTTTTCATATGAAAACATCCCTCCCATAATAATGATTAATGAAGGGAATGGTATTTTGAAATATGATAGCAATACAGAAGAATTCATAATTGTTAAAAAAATCATTAATAGATTATAATATAGTCAGTTAAAAATACTATAATGTTGAATTGAAATTTCACATCTTTCTCTATTGAATTCAACAGCTTTTGATATTCAGTCCTTATGCCTAATATGAGTTCTGAATCATTGATTGGAGTTAAAGTTGTGTATCATTAGGGTGTTGGGAAAAAACTGTTCCACCAGTGCATTCATTTTGGCAAGAATGAAGTCACCTATTTTATTTATTTAAATCCATCTGCATTTATTTTATCAGTAACATATTTGGTCTGCGGCCTGTGGATTGTACAGACAATGAAAATATGAAGTCATTATTGCTGCTACCAGAGAAGAATGAATCATGCTCAACTAGCCGTTGTTCAGGAGTAAGTATGGATTTAGCATTGGAACATTTATATCTTTTATTGAAATTGGTTGTGAAAGGAGCATAATGAAAAAATTTCCAGTTAGCAAATTGCTTTCATTCACCAAACAATTATTGAGTACTTCCTCAGTATTACTACTGTGGATTCAAAGATATAATCAGAATAAGTCTATCAAGAATTACTTTAAACCCTCTCTGTATTTTAGGCAGCATTCATACAGCAATGAAAATGACTGATAAAACTCTTTATTTCAAGAAATTTACTTGCTAGTGAAAAGTAAAAAAAGAAAAGAGGACTGTATCTACACTAATATAAATAAAATAACTTCAGAAGCTTGTGAGTTTTTGAAGATTGTGTGGAGCATAATTGGGTAGAGATGGTGGGCACTCCTTTTCCTAGGGCTGTTGAGGAAGTGTTACGGTTTGAGTCTGGATGTCCCCGCAAAGCCTCATGCAGTCATAGGGCCAGGCTTCTGGAGTTTGTGAATGATTCATGGTCCAGTGCTTGGATTGTGGGTGTGACCTACAAACAGTGTAAGGGACAGAAAGAGTTTTCCCTTCCTGCTCCTTCCGCCTTTGCTCTTTTCATTCTTGTCCCTTGTGGCCAGCTGCCATGAACAGCTGCCCCTCAGCCATACCACCCTGCCTTAGAGCCAGCTGAGTATGGACTGAAACTTTAAAAAGCTATGAGCTAAATAAACCTTTCCTTCCCTCATTTTGGGCATCAGATATTTTGTCTCAGCAATGAGAGAAGTGTAACCAAGACAGAGGCCTTCAGAGGAGTGATTTGAATTCAAACCCGAATGCTAACTAAGATTGGTGGTGTGTCCTTATAATGTCAGCACTCTGAGAGCCAGAGTTCCAGACAGCCTGGGCAACTCTGCAAGACCCTCTCTCAACATTAAAAGTAAAGAAAAAAGGGGCTGGAGCTACAGGTACACCTCAGTGCTAAGGCCCTAGATTCAATTAGCAGTACTGAGGAGAAAAAAAAAAGACCTTCATTGGATGAGCCTGGCATGTGTAAAGGTTAGAAAGAACCTGGAGACCACTGAATGTCTAACAGTAGTGGGAAACTGTTGAAAGGATTAAAGGCATTGGAAAAACATGCTTTGATTTGTGCTTTAGATTTCATCCTGGCTACTTTATGCAAGAGGGACTATGTGGCAAAAATAGAAGCAGAGAGATAATTTTGGACTGTTTATTTTACCAGGAGAAGGATACCAACATGGCCTGGGCTAAGAGAATTGCAGTAGAGATTACAAGTCAAGAAGTGTAGTGTGGACATTTGATTAATGCCAATAAGGCTTTCTGATGAGTTATATGTGAAGCATGAGGAAAGAACGGAATTAGCATGTGATGCCATTGCTGCCATGGGGTGGAGAATTAGTATCCAGTTTGCCAGTTTTATGTCTATGAGGTATTAACTGGAGATTTTGAGTAAGTGGTGGCATACATGAGTCTGGAGCTTAGGAGCAAAAGTAGAAAGCATCCCTTATGGAGGAGTATGGATATAGAGATTTTACTACACATGTAATATTCATCATAGAAGCTGCTAAAATGTGCAGTAGAATCTCAAAGAAGGAATAAGCTAACTTTAGGCAGGGTCAGGAGGAACTTGACAGAACATGTTTTTAATCCTTTAAGGGCAAGATTTTTAGTAGGGTACATGCTAGAATGTTTTGACTGTGAATAACAAAAGTGTTCTCAGATTCTTAAAAACAATTTATTATTTTAAAGACATTGTTAATGTAGGAAAACTCATCATCGAGGACCCCAGTCCTTCCTGCCTATTTACTCCGCCATCCTTGTTTGGCAGATGTGTCCTTACTTAACTCGGTCATGGAGTTGTAAGATGATTGCCACAGTTGGAGGTGTGGCAGCAGCCAGCTGAAAGAGAGGCACCAAGTCTTCTCCATGAGCCTTGCTGGGGACCCTGAGTCTTATTGGTGAGAACTGGTCACAGATTAGTTTTGACATAACAGAGGATCCATTCTTGGGTCAGTGCCATACAGAATTGAGCTTCTGTTAGTGTGCAGGAGTGAGGGATGGATTTTGTGTGAACAAGCAGTGGTAACTAGAATGTGAGGGCTTTCACAGTCTAAGGTCCTTAGAACTTTGACTCACTATAGAGTTCAGTGCAAGAGGAGCATAGGGACATTAAAGTGGAATTCAGGGCCGAGAACTAGACTGGATTCAACTTGTGAAGTCTGGAATTCCCTCCTAGGGATCAGGCAGTTTAGACTTACTGGGGGCGCCTTCTGGTCAGGAGCACAGCTGGGAGTGGAAGAGACAGGCTGGCCAGTAGGCTGCTGCGGTAACAGGAATGATACAGTAAGTGATACGGGAGGCCTACTAATGTGAGAAGAGAGGAAGGAGGGCTTTGAGAGGCTGTGTGGAGAGAGGGGAGGGAAGAGAGGAGAGGTAAAGAGAGTTAGGGATAAGGGGCGAGGAAGAGCAAGGGGGAATGGTGGGCTCAGTTGCTGACTTAGTGCTTGTTCAGATGGTGCAAAGAAATGTGCTAAAGCCAGGTGCATTCTGGGGAGACTTCCTGACCTGGAGGGGTGGTCGGTAGTATCAGTGCTACTGTTTGAAGTTACAGAGGAAGCCTGGGGCAGTTGTAACTTGACATGGCCATGGACTACTTACCTTTATACTAAAAACCACTTACCTTCTGCTGCAGACTTTACCCTTATAAATGTGCTTCAGATGATAGTGTGGACATGAACTACAAGAGAACCTAGAAGTCAGCAGTTTAATTTCCTCCTTTTACAAATGAGAAAACTGAGACCCAGAAAGGTTGTGTTTTGCCCAGGGTTATTAACCAGACATTAAAAAATTTTTTTCTTTTTAATGGACCAGTTAGAACTCAAATTCTTAAGTCTTAGGTCAGTTCTTATTCAGTCCTGCTGTATTTAATAACTATAAACTGGTACGTATTTTGTTCATTTGTACTTGAACTCTCCTGACAGAGCAAGGCGTATTTAAGTTGTCATTTGCCAGTATGCCTTGTATGGAAAAGCTGGAGAAAGTTTATTTTAAATGTGTCAGAAATAAAGATATCTCTGTGGAATTTTTGAAGTCTGAAGAGGACAATGCCCTTCAAAAAAAGGATTTTTATCCATTTTTATCAGACTTTCTGCGTGTCATGTGGACTTGGCCTGTGGGTATCGTTATTTATTGTCTTAGTGGTTGATAAATAGCTAGGAAAAGCTAATGAATGGTCACCAGCCTTTGTAAGCTGAGGCTGTTTCTGCCTGTGCAGTCCTTAAAGCTAAACTGTGGGATCTGCCTGCCCAGCCACTGCCAGAATTCACATGGGCTGTCTGGCTGGGTCTCAGTTCCAGCAGATCGCTCATTCAGGTCCTCTGCATTAACTTCAGGTGTTTGTGTCAGGAGTGGCGGGGAGAGCGAGATGTTTCATGGCCTGCGCCCTCACATCCAGCTGCACCACCACCCAGTAATGCTGCCCACACCGCCTCTGCTCTGTTGTATTGTAACACTGATTCTCTGATACCAGCTATGTTTAGTTTGCTGGTTTTTTTCCCCTCTTAATTAGAATATAAATTCCATGAAGGGTGAGACTTCTGTTTACTTTAATAGCTCTGACCTCAAGAACAGTGTCCGGCAAGCTAGAGAGCTCAGTAAGTGAAGGTGCGCTAACACTGCGGTGCGCACCGGAGCGCCTGGCATGGCGTATGCTTGCCCGGCAGCAAGTCCAGAATCCTTTCGATGTTCTCCGAGCTGTGCTGAGGAGCTGCTTCAGGGGACATCCTGAAGAAGGGACTATGAGTGGTGGGGTTTGAGATCTTTTGCTTCCCTTCTAGAGTTGTTTTAAGTAAAGGTTACTGGCTATTGGAAGGATCTGCTTGACTCTGAGCAGCAGCCTCTGATCTCAAAGATCTATAAAGCCTGCTGGCTGTGTTTATTATGGGATGTCTCTGCCCATGATCCATTTTGAGCGGTCTGTTACCCTTTTTATTCTTTCCAGATTTTTTTTAACCCTATTGATAAACTTGTTAACTAAGAAAAAGTACCACTGTAAATTTTGAGTGTATTTAATGCTGATAAATGTGATACCTAATCTTTATAATATCTTGATATTGAACCCTTGGAATATTTCTTTGAACCCTTTAGGCCCCTGTTCTGAGAGCTCTCTTCTAACTGAAATTGTGTCCCTACCCCATGCTGCCCTGCCCCAAATCAGACATGTGGCTTGGCAGCTGTTTGGTCTATTTTATTATAGCTTTCCGTAACTAGAAGAAATTAGTACCAATTTCTATTTTTTATGCAAATTTTAAAAACTAGGAACATGCTTGACCCACTTTGCTGCTTTCCTTGGTTGGTATAAATAGTAGCCTATGCTATATTTAGAAATTATATATTTTACTCTCGTATTTTGTGCAAAGACCTAATGCAGCTGAACTGCGCTGTATAAATTGAGAAGTAATGTGCTCTCTTTAGGGCTATTTTGTGACATGTATTTGTATGACTGACAAGAATTTTTAGCATAACTTTGTTAATATTACTGTAGTACATTAATTGAGTGACTTATAAAGTACACTAAACATAGTAACATCATCTTAGTGGCCAGGAAAGATGCATATATAGGAATGTGATTATAAATATGTGTGTGGGGATGTGCAGCACTCCCAGTAAAACATCTCCTGACAGAACCTTTAATGTAAGTAGTTGAACTTTGAAGTGCTAAATATTATAATTTTAAAAGTATTTAATTCTCTTTATCAAAGTTTTTAAATGTTTTAATAGACTCAATATATATTGAGTGAATGAATTACTGAGATCAATCAACTTGTTCATAGGTGTAGCCAACATTTACATGTGATCCCTGTTTGGTATGAGACTACTAAGTTATTACTATTCTGACACGTAAAGTGAATGCTTAAAAATAAACTTCGATCTAGTTCCTGAACTAAACTGGTGATTGTGACTCACTGGTTTTCTTGTGTCATTCAGAGCCGGTTTCTCACTATTCATGGATTTGATCTAGCTTTCAAATTCTCTTTGTCTATATTAATCTTGATTTTGAGAGGTAGCTATTTGGTAATAATTGTTTTTTTCTTTCTTTGGAATCAGTACCATTTCAGAAGCTGTGAAGTACTTTGATTTTAGATAAATTTAACACACCAACGTTGAGTTTAACTGTATTGCCATAAGTTGAGGGCGGTATTAGTCATTTTAAGTGGATGTTTTGGGTTACTTGGAAACAGAAAGTGACAGAATGAAGGTATAAAGACCTATAGAGAGTTCCAGTGTAGCACAAAGCAAACAAGATGCCCTGGGTAAAGATACTCTATAATTTTTTTTTAATTAATCCATGTTTGCAGTGCATAATGTTTACATTCCTTGTAGGGATTTGACACATTTATAGCACATCTTAATTCCTTCTTCATCTTCTTCCCCTCCTCTTCCTCAACCATCTCTCCATCTCTTGATCCCCTTTCCATTGGAGAAATATTTGTCTTTTTTACTTATCCTTTGGGCCTCTCCTGAGAAAAGCCATGTAATATTTAAGGTTGTGTGTCTTGATTTGACATTATGATTTCAAAGTGCATCCACTTTCCTACAAATGAATCAAGTGTATCTTTCTTTATGACAAAGTAGTACTGCATTCTTTGTAAATACCACTTTTTATTTATTCATTTATCTGTTGATGATCCTATAGGCTGCTTTCAAAGCTTAGGTAGCAAGCGTTACGTTGCTGTATACTTTAGTATCCCTCTGTCACTGTAGTATGATGTCTTGAACTCTTTCAGGAAGATGCTAGAAGGGAAATAGCGGGGTCAAATGGAATTTTTGGTTTTGGTTTTTTGAGTAGTTTCCATATTGATTTCCACAGTGGCTGTACTTGCTTACGTTCTCACAACAATGTGGAAGGATTCCTTTTCCCCTCAGCCTCACAGCATTTATTATTTGATTTCCTGATGATGGCCATTTCTGAGGAAAGACGGAATTGCAGTGTCGTTTCAATTTACATTTTTATCATGGTCAGCAATACTGAATTTTTGTTTTCTTTGGAGGAAAACAAAGAAATAGAAAATAGGTTATTAAAATGGCTTCATTACCAAAGTTCTTAACACAAATTCCATGTAAGTTATTGAAAATTATTAAGTAGGGTAAGTTAGGTAATGAAATTCACTCTTCTATCAAGTGAAGTTCTCTGTCTGCTCATCTTTGAATGTACTTCTGTTAATGTATTGCCATGTGGTTTCCCCTTGCTCACTAACAGGTGAATGTCGGGCAGCGCAGAGATGGACCACTTGTTCTCATCGGCAGTGGGCTTTCTTCAGAACAACAGAAAATGCTCGGGGAGCTGGCAGCAATGCTTAAAGCTAAAAAATGCATGGAGTTTGACAGTACAGGTAAGAATTTGGAGTTTTTTTTGGTAGAAAAAAAATTAGGCCAGGGATTTAGCTCAGCGGCATAACTGCCTGACTGGTAAATGTGAGATCCTGAGTATGATTCCTGGTACCAAAATAAATTTTTTTATAAATAAGTAATCTCTTTGGACAGTTTATGTATGCCTTTGATAATTTATGTATGCTTTAATTATTAGAATGTCACTGTATATTTTGGATATTGTAATAAATGTAAAATACTTTATATAATCTATTTATAAACAATTACATAACTTTATAAACAATTATAAACTGTTTGTAAACTAAAGTTAGGAAATGTAAAGTTTGAAGCCTTGTACATATTTTAGGATAGAATACTAAATAGAAGAACACTTTTATGAGTTTACTAATAACAAATTGTACAGTGTAATGCCACAGTTCCTTAGTTATAATTTGAAGATAACAAAACATTTGTGTGTGTTAATGTGCCTTAAGATAAATGGTAATGCTCTGAGTTTTCCTGTTGATGGCCATGTTGGAGAATGATACTAAGAGAAATCTTTTACAGAACTGCAAAATTTTTTTCCTTTGAAGAAGATTCAGATGTGTTATTGAAATAAGTAGTTTTTTAAAAAGCAGGTAGTTACAGAATTTTTGGTTTGTATCTGTCTTGCTTACTGCTTTTTATTTTTTTTACTTCTTAGTGACTCACGTCATTATTTCTGGTGATGAGGCTCAGACTACTCTCAAGTGTATGCTCGGGATTCTCAATGGGTGCTGGGTCCTGAAGTTTGACTGTGAGTACTGAAGTTGGGAGTACTTACAAAATGAATTAACTAGACTCATTTTCACACTTAATTAATTCAGGAACTTAAGCGAAACTTCCTGTTTCTTGTTAGTTTCTATATTTTGAAAAACTCACATTAATGGTGTCACTTAGATGTTCTTAGTAAATGTCCACAAATAAGTCCTGCTTTTAAAATCTACTGAAATACCAAGTATGTTAATAAAGAATAAATGGAGTACATTGTAGATTTTTAAGTCTAATCAGTCCGTATTACTGTTAAATGATGGATTTAACTTAGTGTACTCATGTCTTAAATACACTACCCAATAGTTCAGTGAGATGAAAGTAGTTTATTGCTTACCTTTTATTATTTATAACACATTATCTTCCTAATGGCCTTTCACTCTTGGTTACTCAGTATTTTTAGACAGCTTTGGGAAGTTTCGCCTGCCTTGTCTCCCTGCCTGGGGTGATGGCAGCAGCTGTTCCGTTCACCTTCACTAACACCGTGTCCCCTGTCACCGTGTTGGCAAACACCACCACCTTCCCAGCTGCCGCCCTTCCTCGTGGTCATGTGTGTGGTTTTCTTAACCTTGGATTTTCTGAGATTAAAGCATGATGAAAAAGAATGCTCACGCCTGATTATTTTCTATTCCTCAGTAGCTAATACATCTGCTTTTGATACTGATAGCTACAGTAGGGCTATTTCAGCTCACAAATTGTTTAGGAAAGGCTAGTGACTAAGGAATAACACGGGGAGTCTCATGATGGTGCATTTGAAGTGTTGATCACAGTGGAGGTTATGCAGTGCAAGGCTTCCTGTGTGCTGACATTTCATAGATCCGCACACAACTTGACTGCTCTGGATTGTGCGGTCACACGCAGTCTGCTGGTACTCTGCTAGAGTTGTTCAGTATGCTGGCACTGGACCCTGGAGAAACGGTGCAAGAGCTTTTTACATTTCTTTGCAGCGTCCTGTAACTAAAGAATAGTGAGTATATCTGTTGAAGTTTTCATTTTAAGAAACAAAATTCATTTTCTTAAACTTATTTTCTGGCTTTGTGCTTTAAAGGTTTTATAAGAGAATGCTTGATTTACCAGATCCTAATTATATTGTTAATTTAATCTGTGTTTGGAAGTTGATTTGGTTTGTGAAACTGTTTTCATCTGTGATTGGTGTTTATTCCCTTTTCAAGTATGCTTCCACTTCCTGTGATGGTCTCCACTGATGTCAGGTCCAGTGAAGTGCTGTGTTGAGCAGTGCTGCTCTCTGTTCTCATCCACCTCTTTATTAGTCCCTCTGATCACTACTGCCTTGGGAAGCAGATAAATAATTGGGCTGACTTACCATTTACTTCGGAAAAAAGTTTCTCGTTATGTCTATTTTTGAACATTCTTTTCCTTTACAAGTCTCTGGTAAACATTGAGCTTCAGTGTTTTAAAAACTAACTTAAAATTGCTCCATGAATATGGATTGTTTTCTGTTTTTTTTTTTTTTTTTTTTTTTTTCCCCCTGACAGTACTGGGATTTGAACCCATGAGCTGTGCATGCTTGCCAAGTGCTCTACCACTGAGTCATATCTCAGTTTGATTATGGGTTCTTTTGTACCATATATGTATGCCAGAAACCTGGCCAGTGGTGTATGCCAGAAACCTGGCCAGAGATAGATTTTCCTAATAATGAGGTCTTAGTAATAAAGAAGCCATATGAAATTTTGAATAATAAGATGTCTATCATTTAACTTTCAGTCTAGTTCTTGAGAACATGCTGAACTGGCATTCCATTACATATACAGGCTACATGATTCATTTCCATAAAATCTACCTCTTCAGGAAATGTGAGTTTTGTCAGCTTAATGGCTTGGCTATGTCATTTTTATAGAATCACTGATGAGCTCAAGCTGACTTAATAGTGTGCTACATGGTGATTCTCACAGTAGTGAATAATATCCTCTACTATCAGTGGTTCTTTCAGGATAAAGGATGGATGGATGTCTTATTGAGGTTCATATCTTCATATTTTCTAATACAGAGTTCAAAGAAAAGGAAGTTCAAGGTTTAAGAGAATTTAATAACCATGGAGTGTATAAAAAGAAGGCAAGAACTCTCTAGTACCTTCTTTCCTAATACAGCATACATATGTCTCACAGTTTCTGTATTTTAAGTGCTGTGCATCTCAGTTTGATTTTTAAAAACATTTCAGAGCTATTTATAGCCATCTAAAAATCATTTATTGGTTGAAGAAAGATGAAATAGACTAAAACTTTGAAAGTTAATTGGAAAGATTTATGGCTTATGTTTGAATCTAGATACTGGTTTGCTCAAGGTTAGACAAAACATTTACTAGGTTAACTAGTAAGAAACATTAAGAACAGCTTTTTATGAGATTTTTTAATAAACCAACTGGATTCAAGAGGAATTTTAATCTTTATAGGTAGTTGGTTCATTTAGCAAATTAAAACAAAATTATTCAAAGAGTTTTTGACTCATTGCATCTGTTTGTTAGAAGTTTCTGTTTCTGTTTTGTCTCACTTGAATGATTATTCCTGTGTTCATATGAATAACATCCTGACTTCTACAGTTAATGAACTTAATATAATTCTGAGAATAGGCTGTAATTACCCTGCTCAAATAGTCATCCAGTCTTAGCATATTTAGTTTACAGATATTTTAAAGAATCGTACTTACCTTAAAATTTATAAGAATAGGACCATAGAAGAGCTACATGTCCATCAAGAGATGAAAGGATAAATAAAAAAATAGTGTTTAGGACCAGGGAGATAGCTCAGTGGCACAGTGCCTGCCTGGCACAAGGTCACGAGTTCATTTCCTGGTGCCACAAAACAAAACAAAAAGTGGTATTTATACACATTGGAGAAGGATAAACTTGAATCATTTGTAGGAAAATTGATATATGAAGACCATAATACTAAATGAATTAAATCAGACACACAAGCTTAAATCTCATGGCTTTAAATTACATGAGAAAGTCAGAATGTAAATAAAAATACATGATAATAGGAAAAAGGGATGTGGGTCTTTCACAAAGTGAACATAATCAAGACATGGAAGGAGAGGAGAAGAGAAAAAGGAAAAGAAGGGATGAGAAAAGAAAGAAGATGTGCTGTGTACAAGCCCCCCCTGCCTTGGGGATTATAATCCCTGGGTACTGCAGACATGTACTGATACTCACAAAAGATAGAGAGAAAATGTAGGAAAAAACTAAGTCCTGAGAGGCGGGGAAGGTAACTTAGGGTGAGCATCAGCTTCGCAGGTGGGAGGCGTCCTGACTTCAGTCCCCAGCACCACCATGTGTTTTAAAAGCACTGATCCAGCTTGTGACTGCTTTTTGACACTAATTCCTCACAGGCAACTCACCTTTGTAGAAAGGTAAAAAGTGACTAAAAGGAAAGAGCAGAAGATGTCTAAGTAAGCCATTGTTTCCCTCCCTTGGAGCATAGATAAGACGCAGGTTGCACCGTGAGAGTATGAGCCAGCCTTCTGTGTGGTATTTTTTAGCAATCTATCCATTGAGTGCACTGCTTTGAAATTTTTTGTCCAGTTTCATCTTTTTATTTTTTTAATGAATTCTGCATCCTCATTTCTCACCCCATTGTGTAGGGAGTGCACATGGCTGTCATCGTCTTTGATAATCTCTCCTCCTTCCCTCTCTTGTCTGAGTTTAAATGAAATTTGGGCTGTGGCGGTTGTGCACATCCCTGCACCTGGAGAAACTGCTGAGAAGAGGTGCGAGACGGCGCCTGGCGGACTCCCGTCTGCCAGCCAGAGCGAGGGCACGGCCGGACCGTGTCTTTGTTGTTTTTCCTTTGTGTTTCTGGGGTAACCATGGACCTTAAAAGACAGGCATTAAAGAATTAGTTTATAAGTAACCTCATAGTCAGACTAACAAATCCATTTTCTTCCCTTTCTTTTTCTTCCTGCGTTGCCTAGGTGGTCCTTACTCTCCTGCCCCAGACCCTGAGCAGCTGGCCCTGCAGGTGTCTGCCACCACACCTGGCCACATTCCTGCTTTTCTGTTAGGGTTAAATGGGCCATGGGATCTTAATATCAGTGTGGTTTTTATTGTTATGTAGTAAACTCACTAATTATAAAAAACAGATACGCCATAGCATTTCTATGTGTATTAATTAGGCAAATTAATGCTCACAGGCTTCCACTAAAGATTCTCCATTAAACAATAAAAAAAAAATACAGCTAGGGACAGTTGCAGAAACCTGTAATCCCAGCCTCTGGGAGGCTGAGGCAGGAGGATCACAGGTTTGTGCCCAAGTTGGGGGAAGTTAACAATTTAGTGAGACCCTGTGTCAAAAAAGGAACAAAATACAGTATCCTTTGACCTAATGGTCCCACTTAGGAGAATTTGCCATAAGCAAATAATACAGAGATTAAAAAACGGAAAGCTATTTTCATTATTATTTCTAATGGGACTAGCGAGAGTGACCTAAATATGAGAAAATTAAAACAATTAGAGTGCTTTAATTCTCTGAAAAATTCATTTATCTACAAGACTAAGGTATTATAAAAAGCAGGATTGTATAAATATTAAAAAAAAGTTTTCACTTTTAACAACACATAAATGTAAGTACATACAGGCAAGACAAATAAAAGAAAATGATGGTGGGCTTGTAGGTTACCGAAGAGGCCAGTTTTCAGCCGTTTTTAAAACAGCGTATGCCTGTTTAGTTCAAACTCTGTCCAGACAAATTCACAATTTCAAGTTCTAATACTAATTAAAAAATGTATTTTCTTTTTTAGTGTTTTCCAGAGATTATATAGGTAAATAAGGGCTTTCATCTACAAAAGGGAAATTATTACCTATGCATATAAACATCTCTCACCTGTTACAGCAAGTCTGTTTGTTTTCTAGATCTAAAAATTACATTTTACTATGATTGTTCCTAATCATATCAGAAAATTTTACATGAATCTTTGAACTTTAAGTATACTTCTTAATAAGAACACAGTGTGAGTTTTGTAATCATGAGAATT